CGCGTCGTTAGCACCGTATAGTATTTAATAATCGCGCTGCGAATCGCCGGCTAGAGTTTAACGAGGAGATAGCGGATCCTATACTCCTCGCTATAGTCGCTAAGTTAATCTTCGAGTACTACGAGCTTAAGGGCAAAGCTTTAGACTAACTGTCCCTTACGCTAACGGGCCGCCTTATACTCGAGGGTTACGTCTAGTATACGGTTTATAGGGTCCCCGACGTAGTCCCGATAGAAGGTTTTAAAGTCCTAGTAGGTATAATTCTATAGGTCCTTAAGGCTGTTTTTATTATGCTATCGCTCCTACGCATCGCCTATAAGGTATATAATACTATAAAGCACCTTGCTTTCGTCCGTATAATAGGTAGCTCCGGATAGTATAAAGGTAATAGAAAGTTCTCTAAGGAATCGCCTCGATTCCTTAATCGTATCGCCTTTAAAGGGCTTAGGTTCCTTTAGGCGAGGCTTAATAGCCGCAAGACTAGCGACTGCGTAGCTTATGCTAGGTATAGTAGCTACGCTTAGCGTACTTCCGGAAAGAGGTAGTCGATACGAGACAGATTTAGCTCTCTAAGATTTAGGCCTCTAAATCGACTCGTTAGCTAATTCTTCCTCGTCCTCGTTCTCGTCTAGGGGTAGGGTCCTCGTAGGACCCTCGCCGGCGGTACCGCTGCTCGGAGCTAGCGCATCGCCTACGTCCCTAAAGGCACGAAGACGCGCATTCTCTCGCTTAGCTTCTTAAGCCTAGACTTCTAGCCTAAGCACTTTTTGCTTAGCTAGAAATCGTTCGAGCCGTAGGCGGGTCGCTTCCCGGCGCGCCTAATATTCGGCCTCGTATTATTGTATCGCCGCGTCGTTTTCTAATGCTATAGGCGCTCCTAATGCATTATTCTACGCGTTTCCCGCGCCCGGCGCGTTCGGATCGCTTGCGTTTATCTTTCGGGGTTCTATAGGCCGCTACGAAGGGTAGACGGTTTAGAACTATAAGAAAATAGGTATATAGCAACGTATAGAATACCCTCTACTAATCGCCGTAGTAGAAAGTAGAACTAAACCGTGCCTTTCTTAGAATAGGGCAGAGCGACTACTATTAACTAGGCCTAGCACGGATAGTATATCTGCCGTACCGGCTACCGAGTATGTCCGTACGAGTAATCGAGTATTACGCGCATGCGCTAAGCAAGCTTATCGCTAGCGCGGCTGCATCGTACTGTACGTAATAATATTATATAATTGTTATATAGGCTTGCTAAGGCAGGACAGGAGACTTCACTTGCTTAGGTTCTTACATTATAGCACCTTATTCTTCTACTTAGAATAGCCTAGCTAAGGTTAGCAACTATATCGTATATACGACCGCTCGGAAGATAATGCTCTATACTAATTTGCTAAAGGCCCTATAGCCGTATATAGTTACTACGGCTATATAGGTCCTTAATATCACTCCTAGAACCTTAGAAGGTCTTAGCCCCTATACTATTGTAGCTAGGGAGCTTAATTAGTCTCGAAAGCAGCTACGCCTTTAACATCTCCGTGCCTATAGCTATACTACTATTGCATATAATTACGGAGTTGCTCGTAGAAAGAAGATAGATAGTAGAGGCCTTATTAGCAAGCTAGTCGGCTATACTAAGGACTTAGTAGACTTAGGAAAGTATATAATTTACCTCCCTAACTAGTATAAGGTTATTCTATTAAAGGATGTCTAGTTTATTAAGACGGCTAGTAAGCTATTGCTTCTAGAGGGCATAGATCTATACGCCAATCCTAACGATCTAGCTAAGAACGAGTTTGTTACACTCGAGTCTATTATGCCGGCTCTATTCAATTCTATAAGCAACGAGGCACCGTCGCTATAGGAAGCCGCTAGTATAGTCTAGCAGCTTCTAGCCTAGTAAGAAGAGCCTCTAGACGACTCTGCTTAGCAAATGCCTAATAAGGTCGCTAATCTATTACTACTCGAGGATAACCTTCTAGACGTTTAACTACTAGCTTTAAGTAATAAAGATGGCTTTTAGTTAGCTAAGGAAGATTAAGCTCCGCCTTTTAATCTAAATGCGAAGAAGGGTAAGCCTAGCTAGTTACTAGAGTTTGAGCGACCTAACACGATAGGCGCTCGTTCTACCCGTATAACCCGTAGCAATAAGTTAGCTCGTAACCTGTTGCGTAGCTATCTAGCTAATTGTAGTGTTAAGCGGGCAACTCGACGCATAATAGCTAATATGCTAATAGCCTATATAAAGGGCTTTATAGCTTCCTGCTACGTTGCTAAATAGTCTAATAGAGACACTATTCCTATTCTAAAGAGCTACAAGGAGGCGACTTAGTCGCTATACTAGCTATAATAGAAGGAGGCCTATAAGGCTAAATACAAGTTACTAATCGACAACTATATATAGGTGCATATATCTCGGTTAGAGGTGCTAGAAGGTCGCAAAGTTGTTCGTAGCCGATAGGTATTTACTATTAAGCGCGACGCTAATAGCAAGGTAAGTCGGTTTAAGGCTCGTTAGGTCGTCCGTAGCTTTACATAGGTTAAAGGACAGGATTATAACGAGACCTATACGGCTGTTGCTAAGCTGTATACACTTCGAGCCTTATTTAGCTTAATTGCTTATTACGACCTAGAGGCTAAGCAGTATAACATCCTAACTGCCTTCCTTAATACTCTTATCGGCGATAAGCACAAGATCTACGTTAAATAGCTATACGGTTTTAAGGACCGTAGTAGTAAGGGCATAGTTTGCCTATTGCTAAAGGCACTATATAGTCTAAAACAGTTACTAATGCTATAGTATAAAGAGCTTCGGAAGTACTTAAAGAGCCTAGACTTTATTCTAATAATAACCGACGTCTGTGTATTCAAACACGTTATTAGCGGCTCGATTATCGTTATCTACGTCGATAATATAATTATTATCGCCTATACTCTATTAGTACTAGAGGCAGTAGCTTAGTTACTAAAGGACTGTTTTAATATACGAGAACTAGGCGACCTTTACTACTATCTCGGTATACGGATCATCCGTAACCGCAGTTAGCGTACTATTCACGTCGTTTAAGATGCCTATTTGAATAGGCTTAGTAAGAAATATAGTATACGTAGCCGTGTCGGTCTAGCTACTCTAATAGCGCCTCGATACGTTAAGACATCGATTTAGCGTATACCTAAAGGCTATATAGCTAGTGCCGCCTTTAAGACTCAATATTAGGAGGGTATTAGTAAAGCCCTCTAGCTAGCAATAATTACTCGGCCGGATGCGTGCTATACTACCGGCCTATTGTTACGATTTATTTCTAACCCGACCGAGGAGTATTATACCGCGCTTCTTTAGCTAATTAAGTACCTAGTTAGTACTCTAAGCCGTAGTATGCGCTTTTAAGGCAATTAGAACGAGGGTAACGACCTTAAATTCGCTAGTTACTATAACGCCTTATAGGCTAATAATCTAGTTACTCGTCGCTCTATAGGTAGCTTCTACTTTACTATTATAGGCGGACCTCTATTATATAAGTCCGGCTGCTAGACACTCGTTACACTGTTATTAACTAAAGCTAAGTATATTTAACTTACTATAGGGGCTAAGGAAGCAGTTGCCTTAGCTCGTTTATTAAAGGAAATTAGCTATAAGGGCTATATTCTTCTAGTTACGCTTTACGAGGATAATTAGTCTACTATTACTATTACTAAGTCAACTAGCATTAATAGCCGTACAAAGCATATAGATGCTCGTGTCTACTATATTCGAGAGAAGATTGCTAATAGTACTATTATCGTCTAATAGATTAGTATATATAATTAGATAGCCGATAGCTTTACTAAGCCGCTTAATAAGGTTAAGCACGGCCGCTTTGTTAAACAACTAAACCTAGTAGATTGTAAGGCCGCTATTAAGAATGCTATAAAGCTAGCTATTAAGTACTAAAAGGCCCTTATTTGCTTTATATAGATAAGAGAATAGTCTAGTTTGTTTACCTATTTTGTTTAATTACCTAATACCCTCCTGTTTGCTTTGCTAACTAAATGGCTAATAGGTTTGTTTCATTCTATAGCGATATGCACGTGCTAAGGGGGTGACTTGGAGTGTGTGTCTAGGTGTCAGGGTCCATCACGTGCCTGATGCCTAAGGCTGCAACTGCTGCACTTCATCTTCGGACTTCTAGATAGATTAGTCCTTCTTCCAATACATCAGTTACATCAAGTGATTTTCCAGTGGGTGACGAAGGCGGAATGCTTGTGTGGAAGAGATGAATGGAGAGGCGAGGCATATGATAGAACAGCTGTTGAGCTTTTGTCGAGCGAAGAGCAACTTCCGCCAAGGAATTTGCTGACTAGTTCTAACAAATCTTCCTCCAGACGAGAACAGCGCCAAAACACCTTCAACAAGTCCTCTTCACACTCATTATGCCATCACTTTCCTGCTTATCAAACAGTTTTGTGTACATGTATTATATGGCTCACGATGTGTCGAGTCGCCGTACTCCTCTCAGCGTCTTCCGATACCAATACTCAGTATCTACCTCCTATAAGTCTCCAAAGGCATCGCCGCTTCAAGCTATAGACATACTTACACTGACCCATCATACATTATGAATTAGTATATAAGTACCGATTGAACCAAGTTACGACTGCCGTGAAACCAAACAAAAGAATCCATCACCACCACCCCTTCATACCACTTCATACTTTCCAAAAGTCTCGCGTTAAACAGCCACCTAGCTCCATCCCATGGAAAACTTCCAGAACAACCAAAGTTACCAAACAAAAATTCCAATCTTCTGCACCCTGATAATAGCCTCGTGAAGTCCAGGTTCAGCCTTGTCAAGCGCGACGTGTGCAAATTTCGGCAGAAATACCGCGACCAGGATCTGCGGCAAGCAAGGAAAAACACACTCCCCGTACTGTATACTCCAATCTTAAACTTCACGTTGTCCTTTCATCACTCACCTCACTTCAGTCACTCATTTTCTACCGGATCTATTTTCGGATTCTCCAACGCAATGTTCGCAACAGCAAAATTCCTCGCGATCAGTCCCCTGATTTTGGCGGCAAGTGTTTCGGGAGACGGACACTTCGCACGAGACGATGCGGCGGGTGGCGGCGTGAAAATCACCACGCTCAGCAAAACTTCAAATGCGACTGGCGGGACCGGACAAGTCGCTGCAGCGGGAACTTTGGAGCCTTTTGGAGGGATTGGTGTAGGCTGTGGGATAAATTGGAATTCGAAGGATTCTTACGGAGGTAAAGTAAAAAAGAAGAAGAAAAAAAAACGAAACTCGAAAGCGTGGGTGCGTCGTGCTGATGTTTTTTTTTCTCGTCCAAAAGGTGGTTTGCAAGCTGGTTCCAAGGACTTTGGACTCGGCGGCGGGGCGGAAATCAAACCTGGCAGCCTGCATTATGGAGCTGGGATCGGTCTGAATGGAGTGAATGCGACCGCGAGTTTCCAGCTGAATGCTACGACCGAAGGAGTTTTCGGATTTGCGTTCAGTTCGACGGAGAAGTTTGCTTGTTCTAGCAAACTCGAGAAGGGGATGTACTCTATCGATTGTTATAGTACGAATTCGCAGCAGTATCATGGATAGAAGGCTGGAGGGAGAGCAGACAAAAGCTGATGTATTTTCAATCCGTACGAGGCTTGAGCTCGTCTGAATCTACTGACGCGAATCAGCACCTCTGCTGCTGTAAACGGGTCTTTCCCTATGCACTGCGACACATGCGCTCATGTGCCTCCCTTCCACGATCATTATTCGTAAACTCATCCTTTCCGGCTCGTTCTGCTGAGACCTCTCCGGTCGTGCCCTCCTGTGCTGGGTTCTCTGGGGAGGCACGTTTCCTGGCCGAGGACCCCGGTTATGGCATTGTTGATAAGCTTGAGGACGAGCTCGATGCTGTTGAGCTGTCCGTGGTCTATCAAAAAGCTGAGCCCCGATTATGCTGTCCTGACGCGCGTCTTAATGCTTAGCAGCTGCAGCAGCTAACGCCAGGTGTTCTTGGCGATATATGCAAATAGCGACGTGCACTGCATGCCGAGCAATTAAGAAGCAACGCCACCGAGGCCTGCGAGGTTACTGTTGACCTGCTCAGTAGGACCTTGAGAGCTCTCCTCCTGGTGCGAAGCCACGCCTCCTAATGCTCTGAGATCTTCGACTGCTGGCTCGGACGGCACTGTATGGGTAGTGCCTGTATGGAGATTTACTTCTGGCTCGGCTTCTGGCTGAACGACTGGAACATGGTCCTTTGTGTCTGGCTGCAAGACCGAATCGCCAACATTGGTGACGCCACCAATGCCTTTGAATCCTGGATGAGGCTCGCTGATGTGGTCCTCGTAACGCTCGCTGCTGGCAGAGATCATCTCAGGATTGGAAGTGGGAAAGTTCTCCTCCTCATACTTATTCCAGGATCCCATAAATTTCTCCTCGGTCTCCTTCCATTTGCGGATGCCGTACGCGGTCGCACTCTTGCCGTATTTGGTGGCCGATTCAGTATAGCTTGGGCGAAATGAAGCTGTTGTGACGAAAATCACGACCACAAGAAGCATTGAAGTTAGGACTGCAACTCCTCGCTTGCCTCTTACGACTGGTCGCGGTGAAGGACTGGAATATCCTCGAGCACGTTTTGGCTGCCATTGCTGTGTTGCTTTCTCCATGGCGTCGTAGTCGGGTCGGTGTGACTTGGGGACTGATGACCAGGCCATGGGCGCTCTTGTTAATGTTCTTCCTCGATCGTATGAATCCACGATGGCGCTTGACGTCGTTGAGTGAATTCACAGGATAAGCGCTTTGACTTGAACCTGATCCTTGCAGCAATTGTGATGGGTCCGCAGGCGGCTGGCACAGCTCTTCAATGATCACAAGCTAAAGCTTATATCACGCTGAAAAAGGCACAGTTGCGACTCATACTGTTGACCGACGCGTACGGGAACGAGCACTATATCAAACAACAGTGGAGCAGAGCTCTATAGTCAAGTTTTGGCTGATGTCCATGTCGATCATTGGCCAGCTCGCTCGGTGCAGTCGCCGAGGTCGAATTGGAAGATGTCTTGTGAAGGATTTCCGTACCCCAGAAGTTCATGTCAAGAGGCGTCACACACCGTCAAGTCTGGATCCAAAGGATGCAAGATTAAAGCTGCTACTCACTGGCAGGATCGTTCTGAACGGCAGAGCAAGCGCCTCGGCATCTTGAAAATGCAACCAAGCGCCACCGTCTCGACCTGCTTCAATAATAATCAAGCATCGCTGGTGGTGGATTCTCTTAGCTTCATAGGAAGGATTGCCTATTTGGCCACCCACGCACGCCACCTCCGCACAAGTCGCGCCTCGCGACTCGTGAGCGCCTCGAAGTCAATGTCTCGGGATGCGGAGAGATGAGAACGGCTCGGGAGCCGCAGGATCAGAAAGCAACCGGGCTGCCCCGATGGCGCACATTGTTATGACGCGGTTGATAAGCAAAGGGCGGCATATGCTTAAAGTTTGGACTGGTTAAGCATAGTACAGTAGGATTTGGAGAGGCTGGGCGCGCTCTGTCGGTCAGTTCGGCCGTGAAAAATTGCAGCTCTGGGCTGGAGGCACGCGAGCAACATAATGATAAAGTGTGAGAAAATGAGAGCAATCGTGAAGCTGTACGGCAATGGCATTATCATTCATCATCACACTGTATTCTAAGCCTCAGTCTTTGGGCTTCCCGGGACCTTTTCACCAGGTGCTGGGAGCTTCGCCGGCTTTTCTGGCAGCGCCATCTGGTATAGGACCTGCGTAAGCTTGATGCTCTGGTCGTCGAGCACAGTCGTCGCAAGTTCTGCAACCCAGAGCGTTAGAGGGAGCAGGAACGCAAAAACAACGAGGTAGCTGAATTCCAGACCGAAAATGCCGAATCTCGGAAGTGGGAAGGCATTGGCCCAGTTGGGCATGTTGAGAATGTGTGTCTCGTTGACCCAGCCGACTGCAGCGTACAGTCTGTCTCCGATTGTCCACAGAATGGGTCCGTGGAGAGCGTAGAACATGTAGGATACACGTCCGAGGTACTGGCAAAAGCGGCATTCGAAGAAGCGCTTGAGCCAGCTGATGTGAGGAACAGAGGCCACCAGGAAGGCTGATGCCCAGTGCAAGAAGAACCAGCGGTAGTCAAAGACTGCTTGAGGCTTCAAGAAGGATAGGTAATACCAGCCAGGTGTCGCGCGCATGTGGCTGAGCTCGATGGAGTTCGATGGGATACCTCCCCACCAGATTGCCCATGCGAACATTATATAGAATATCGGCTTTTCGAGAGGCGCAAGGGCCTTCATCCAACCTGGCAAATAGCCCTCTTTGGCGCCCATCTCAAGGTCGCAAATAATCATACCAGCCATGAACATGGCAAAATATGAGCCATCAACGATGTACATGAAGTAGTACCAGAGCCCAACTTCAAGCCATAGTCGAGCGGTGCGGGTACAACGCGAGAAAGCGAGGAGTGCGGTGTAGATAGTAATGGAGGCCTTAAACTCCACAGGGATGGACCAAAGATGCTGGTGGTAGTCAAGCAGGACTCTGTTGCCTGTATCCCAGATAAACCAGGTGTTCTTTATGTCGCAATACCACTTCCAGATTTCGTCCTTGAGATTTCCTTCGGGCTTGAAAGTCATGCCGATGCCGAAGACGTGCGGGAAGATTGCAATGGTAAAGGTTATGATGATCAGTGGAATGTATAGACGCAGCCATCTTCGGAAGAGGGCAGATGCTAGATTGTCGCCAAGTGCAAGATAATCTGCCTTGTTGATCAAGGACAGAGGTTTTGTTGAAAGCACATATCCAGAAATTACGAAGAAGACGGAGACTCCGAAATGGCCTCCCGTGAAGAATGTGCGTACGGCTGGCAGCGCGCCAAAGTAGTAGTTCCCATCAAAACCAAAGCCGTTTTCGAGATACATGCTTCCTCCAGCAAATGCATGGGCCCACATTTGGTGATGCAGGCAAAACACCATGAGCGCTGCGAAACCTCTGATTCCATCCAGGTAAGCCGTCGCCCTCAGCTTGCCCTTCCCTCCAGTCTTGGGTAGAAATGATGGCCTGAACATTGCGGCCAGAGGCGCCACCAGACCTGCTGCGGGAGCCAGACATCTCGCTGCGGGCGCGAGCATGTTTGCGGCCGGTTCTCTGAGTTCCCTCACGCGGTCGGCGATGTCGTTAAACCGCACGACCACCGGCGGTCTCTCGCCTTGCGGTTGCGGTTGTTGGCGCTCTTCGTCATCTTGGGCAAGCAGAGTCAGTCGTACGGGTTCGAGATCGCCATTCTCCAGAATTTCCTCCTTCATTTTCGTGGACTGCCTGCCGTTGTCGTGAAAGCCCATTCATCAAGCTGGTGTGCAGGCGAGTGTGCAAGACGAAGTAGGAATAATGTCAGCACTCGCGAGGTTCGCATGTGACAGAGTGCGGAGGCGATACCAAGACTAGACAGACGCGTGGTGGATGGCGATGCGATGGCGAAGGAAGTGTGCTGTATGGTGGGTGATAAGTGGAAGCCCGCGGACGTGACGTGGAGCTGAGGGAGTTGGCGTGTCTTGGGCCCGGAAGGTGTGGAGGCGCACTAGAATATGGAAATTGAGGCGTCAAACCCTGGTCGAGCCGGTAGACAAGCGGCAAGCCGGAAAGAGGCTTGGGACAGGTGTCGATCGCCTCCAATCATATTGCCTGGCGCTCTGGTTGAGAGTCGATGGGCCTCGGCGCGACACATAGAACTACTTTTGGGCCTTGGCAATGGATTCACGTCTGTGGAGACTCTCAGAGTGCGAGTCTGTTAGACTGTTCCTGCGTCAAGCAAGCTACCGTCCATACCATCACGTACCTTTTCCGTCAGACTACTCCACAGTCCAGGTTTTCCCGCACCGCAACTGTGCCGTGCTACACGACGGAGCGGAGTACTGTCTGCTACTTTGAAGTCACTCTGCATGCAGTTGACATACGAAGCGTCCAGTCGTGGCGGTCCCAGCCATGAAAGGGTAGCCGTAGCTGGCCCCTCATCGAAGTCATCTCATGCCTTATTATCTCAGCCACTCGAGCACCGCATCGCATCGCATGCACTCGGCCAGAGAACTGCTCAATCCTGCACGCGCTCGTGGACATGGACGGACTGTCTGTACTTCACACCCCAACTCTGCCATCTGGTACCACCGAGGCTTCATGGACTCGCTGCGGCAGAGCTCGTTGCTGCTTTCCAACGCAAACGGACGCCGCGGATGTAAGCAAGAGCAGTAGACCACAAGCTGCAGTAGTGCCCGCCTCGCCACTCTCGTGTTCGATGTCGATCTCAGTATGCCTGCCTCGGTGCTAGACACGCTACAGCAGACGAGTGGCCGGTACGTCGCATTGCGAGCCGGTGAATGGAGTCGAATAGCGTGCACCCGGCAGTACAGTGAGATGTTCGCTGCGTGCCACAGTGCTGCGATCAGGTGAAGAAGACTTTCATATGAAGCATGCATGTATGTATTTATATCCCTCGAAGAACAGTGTCCAATCGATCATGGGCCCTGGCCGGGTGCATGCCAGGGAGAGAAGCGAGATGGCAGAGGCAACGCAAGCTCGCCACCCATTGGCCACGATCCCAGTGCCAATCAGGGCGGACTTGCTTCTTTGAGTTTGCCCGGGGTGCTGATATCGAGCAGCCCGCGTCCGCTTACCATTGTTTGGTACCACCATTCTCCCGCGCCCACGGTCCATCATGGCCTTCTTCAGGCAAAACGCCCAGTGGGGATGGCGTCCGACATGCTTTACTCTTATCCGACCGGGCAAGCCTCTCTCACTTACACTTACAATTTCGCCTGAGGAGATGCTCTGTATCCTTCGCGCATGACGTTCTTCTCTTCACCCATCAATCGTGTATAGCGCTGCCCCAACCTCCTGCACTGCGGCTGCGATGCAATTCAGGTTACCTGTGTTCAATCTAACGCGTGCTCGCTCGTGGTCACCAAACCGCATCATGGCCAACGACGAGAAGCAGCCAGAGAAGGAGTCTTTCCTGGAGAAGCCGACGACGCCCAAAAGGTACACGCCTTCAATGCCTCAGATCGGAATGCCAAAGCAAATACAACGCATAATACCAGGACTGATAGCGATATGCTTGTTCCTCGTCTTTATCTCGGGCACAGCCAAAAAAGCGGTCCCTGGGCTGTTCGAGAACAGACCGAAGCACTTCCCGCGGAAGATCTGGCAAACGTGGAAAGTCGACCCTCTCAAGTTCGAAGAGCGAGACCACAACGTCGCTCAATCATGGATTGCGAAGAACCCAGACTACAGATATGAGGTTCTCACCGATCAGAACGACATGGCCTATGTCGAGACCCATTTCGGACCAGACGGCCTCAACCGACCAGATATCGTCTACGTGTATCGCGAACTTACAGCACGTATTGTCAAGGCCGATCTCCTGCGCTACATGATCATGTACATCGAAGGCGGTGTGTACACCGACATTGATGTGGAGGCTTTGCGCGGCATCAACCAATTCATCCCACCCCGTTGGAAAGAGAAGGACGTCGACATGGTTGTTGGCGTCGAGATCGATCAACCAGAATTCGCAATGCACCCAGTACTCGGCACGAAATGCAAGTCATTCTGCCAATGGACATTCATGTGCAAGCCGCGACTGCCGGTCATGATGAAGCTTGTGGAGAACATCATCGTGTGGCTTCGCGGCGTTGCAATGCAGCAAGGTGTGCCAATCTCGCAAGTCAAGCTCGACTTCGACCAGGTTATCAGCGGCACCGGACCATCCGCCTTCACGAACGCGATTCTCGAAGACATCAAGATGCGAACAGGTCGTGAAGTCACGTGGGATGAGTTCCACGACCTGAGCGAGTCCGTCCTCGTTGGAGGCGTATTGGTTTTGACTGTGGAAGCTTTTGCTGCTGGCCAAGGACACTCGGATTCTGGAACGCACGACACGAAGCAGGCACTCGTCAAGCACCACTACCACGCCTCCGGCTGGCCAACTAGTAAGTCTATCGTGCCATTCGCGTTTCCAAAACACGCGCAAGAACTGACATTTTCCCCAGCCCATCCACGTTTCAACCACCCAATCTTCGGCGAAGTCGAGAAGTGCAACTGGAACGCCGAATGCGTACGCAAATGGGACGAGGACACGGCGGCATTTGAGAAACTCAGCCCAGAAGAGAAGATTCGACAGGTCGCGCTCAAAGAGGCGGAAGACAAGCGGAAAGCGGAAGAAGAAGAGAAGAATAAGGCTGAAGACGAGGACCGAAAAGCCAAGGGCCTTCCACCACTTGATCCCGAGACGAGACGGCCGATTGGAGAGGCAGAAGCTGTGAAAGCGAAAGAGAAGGCGAACCCAGAGTTGCGTCCACGATGATGATATAAAAGATAATGTTGTACGCACGCATGCTGCACGGCGTCTCGGCGACGGTGTTTGGGAGTGGTGAGCGTTCTTGACAAGGGAATTTTGTGAATCTTTTGGGGGGTGATCTATGGGTGTAATGTGAATACATGCAGGAGCTTACTCAGGTGCTCTCTGCCCTTTGCCTAAGATTCATACGAGCAATCGGCAGCAAAGTATTTCTATTCGAAGCAGAAGATCAGGTCTCTGCGATTTTTGAACCGAACCTTTATTAAATAAAGCACTTGTACATACATCTCACGCGACTTTACGCGACTTTACGCGATCAGGACTTCACTCAAGTCGTGCACCAACAGTTTGAATATGCACCTCCGATGCGAACGGCTCAAAAGATCAACGATGCATCAGGACACGTGAGCACAACCTGAAAGAAGTGGAGAGGCCGGAAGTCGACGGCATTCCATTCCCCAAAAGAAATTCAAACCCTCTGGTAGCATGCGGGCAGTACAAATCGTTGGGTTGACATCAACCAAAGGGACTGAAAAAATAGCTTCCGGATGTCTCACGGTCAACCAAGCTTCTCCTATAAGACAGCAGCAAAACCATCAAGCTTATTCGCTAAGCGGAAATGCTCCAACTTGCAAGTCGTGCGCTCCGAATACGATTTTTTTTTTCGGGGAGGCGAATGGCAGGTACGAGATGTAAGATCTAGACCCGCAATAGCCACAATGAGCTGTATGGCTGTATAGCTGTCTTTGAAGTCTGGTAACACCGAGGCACTGGGAATTCAAGTCACTCTATGCTCATGCCGTCCCGTCATCCAAGCATTGAGGCTACAGTCCGTCCAGTCTCCAGTGCGGAATCAGAGTTACATCAAAATTGCAAGCAAAAGATTTTCAACCAAAAAAAAATTCCGTCACGGGGAATTGACTACTCTCGCATTAGAATACACTCTCTCGTTGTTATGTCTCCATCATCTACTTACACCCCGGCCTCAACGGTGCTTTATACGATTACGTAATGAGAGCGTTGCATCCTAGCCACTAGACGATGACGGATTGCTTTGATTGGATGACATGAATCTGCGTTGTAAAATTTATATAGTATTCTGGCATGGAGGATCCCGACGACAGTCTCGCATAGCGTACACATGTGATAATGCCTCGCAAGAAAGACGCATTGCATCAAGCATATCTAGTTCCTAAGCTTCTACCTAGACTATGCCATCTTTCCTCTGAGCTTCAATTCTCTGCTCCAGCGCCTCCCGCGGCTTCAGAAGCTCCTTCAATCCGAACCACGGAGTATTGACCGGAGAAGGACCAGTATAGATGCAAAGATCGTACAACACACCTCCAAAAAAACAGCCACAGAACGGCGCGACCTGCACAACTGCTTAGCTCTCGATCTTCACCGCTTTGCTTTTCCCGCCCACGACTTACCATCGGTATCCAAAAATAATACCCTCCCGCAGACCACACCTCACGCCCATACCCCACCGCATACGACATCACCCTCGGCCCAAAATCCCTCGCCAGATTAATCGCATACCCCGTATTCCACCCAAACGAAGCCCCCAGCCCAAAGACCAAAAAGAACAACGCCAAAGGGAAAAAATTCCCGCTCGCGGAAAACGCTCCCCGATTGCTATCGTCCTTCAAAGCAAAAATCACAAACATCAGAAGACTACTCGCGAGGAATTCGCTGAAAAATTGACTCGTTTTCGTCAAACTTTCTTGCGGATATGTACAGAAAATCGCGGCGGTGGCGTTGGGGGAGGGCGGGACTGTTCTTGATGTACTGCTTCCTTCGAAGGCGTTGATGCCGTTGATGTAGTTCGCATAGACGATTCCCGCTCCGACGAAACCGCCGAGGAATTGTGCGAGGAAGTAGATGGGGAGGCGTCGGAGAGGGAGTTTTCTCAAGAGACAGTTGGTGAGTGTTATGGCTGGGTTGAGGTATGCGCCGCTGTCTCCTGCGATGTAGATTCCTAGCATTACGCCGAGACCCCAGCCCCAGTTGATGGATTGGTAGGCTCCAAACCCGTCGCCTCCGGGGGCGGTGGTTTGACCTGTGCTTAGGAGGACTTGGGCTACGCTGCCGTCGCCCTGGATTATATGGATAAGTTAAGAAGGTGGGATCTATGAGATGAGACGGGAGGAGACGTACGAAGCAGATCATTATCATTACTCCGAAGAACTCGGCAAGAGGCTCTTTCAGCGCGCCTCGCAACTTCGTCCATCGCAGCTCTGCATGCTGTGCTGTATCATGCTCCTCGATTATCGGCGCTGTGGGATGGAGTCCTAGTCTTTGTCGGGCACGTTGGACAGCCGAAGAGGTAGTGTGTAAATCAAGGCTATCATCACCATGGCCTCTCTGCTTCTCTCCTGGAGGTAAGGTTTCCTGCTGCGCATGCTCATGGTGTGACACAGATCCATCGCCGGTAGGAGGCAGATTGTGCGCATCCTCATAGCTCTTGTTACCAAGGTCTGTCGAAGTGGTCTTGCCACGGTTGTCCATTTCCTCTTCAGTTCTTGATGCAGAGGAGGACGATTTCGAGAACTGATTCACTATCTAGCACTACATCACCTACCTTACCCCTCCTAGAATAATGGTTACACAACATGGCGAAGCGGTCATCTGCCGTGTAGGACGAGGTCAGATGCGAGGCCTGAATGGGCGAACAAAGGGCTCGCTTGGTGATGCAATTACGGCTCATCTCGATACAAACGGCCTCCATTCAAACAATGGTTCGCGTGGAGGATGGCTGAGCTAGCGAGACCCGATGGAGTGTGGAGCTGAGCCTCGGTAATAAGTGGTTCGCACGTGAAAGGTGAATGCAGGTGTGCGACATTCACATGATGAAAATAATTTGCTGCATGTACTCACAGCATCGAGAACACGCAAGCGAGAACACCAGCCATCGCTACAGTGCTTGTTATGCTGGCACGACGGGTTGTAGCGCTCTCGTCAGACGTGGTGCTGTTGCTCCCAGTCTCGCCTTCAGTCGCGTTGCCTCCGGTACTCGTGCTGGACGTACTATTGACGACCGATATGCGACCATCGAGCGCAATGTCTACAGGAGACTGCTGCTGAATGTAAGCAACGAGAACCTCATCCTGCGTGTCAAGAGTGATTGCATCTTCGAATGGCGTAGCGAAGAAATTGTCGCCACCTCCTGCAAGAAAATCGAGCGTCACGATAGTGTACTGAGCTTCGCGGTCCAGGTCACTATCTCCGACCGATACGCTGACGAGCTTCGTTCCGTTGTCGTTCTTCGGATTATATTCAATCTGAATCCCTTGACTGACTTGCAAGAAGCTGGTAACTTCTTCGTTGCTGACAAGATTGACACCGGAGAAAATGCCTTCAAGAACGTTCCAGAGATCGTCGCCACTCATCGTGATTTCCACCAGAGAGTTGCCGAAAGGAAAGCTTGTGAGGACTTCACCACGAGTGATCGGGCCCTTGTCGATAGTTGCTCGGATGCCTCCAGCATTAATGAGAGCAAAGTCGACTGTATCGCTCTCGTTGCGCCGGTAAGCGAGCATTGCGTCGGCCATGAAGTTGCCAAGCAGACACTCTTGCTCTTGACATGTCTCTTGGTCGAGAACCACATTTGAAGTGCCGATCTCTTCGGCTGCGAACGCCTCAAAAGGTCCACGCCACTCTTCTATCTGTGCTTGGAGAGTCTCGTTCTGGGCAGTTGTGTTTGTGATGTGGATGGGCCCGCCATGGTATTCCAAGATACGTCCCTCTTCGTCGTAAGTTACATCTATGTAACCGAGATATTCGCCCCATCTGTATGCAGTCACGATAAAGACTTCTTCGTCGTCCAGGTTGCGGACGATCGTGGGATATGGGCCTTCCTCATCCTGGCCAGTGCCTAGGGGAGTATGAGAGTGTCCGCCCATGATCAGGTACAGACCTGTCGTGTTCTGCGCAAGTGCTTGGTCCTCATCATAGCCGATATGAGTGAGAGCTGCAATTCTGGTAATATTTGTGGTATCACGGATCAGGTCGATTGTGTTTTGAACGGCAGTTCGGACGTCTGAGAAAGTGGTGTTTTCGCCTGGACTGGAGATATCTGGGGTTGTCTCAGTTGTGACTCCAATCACAGCAAGCTGAAAGTCATCGTAGATGTGGTATGGCTTGATCGTTCGATTCAAGACGGGATGGCCGGACTGAATATTGGCTGATATGATAGGGAATGTCAAGTTCTCGAGGAATTGGCCCAACATGTCGTCGCCTCCATCGAATTCATGATTGCCTAGCGTCATTCCATCAAAGCCGAGTTGATTGATGGTCTCCGCGATCTTCTCGCCACCGTAGTACGTGTAGAAAAGGGTTCCTTGAAACTCGTCTCCAGCATTGAGGAACAGACTGCTGTTCAGGACCGGCCTGCGCTCATTGATTACGGTAGAGATTCTGGCATACCCGCCATAGCAGCCCTTTTCAGGATCTGGTGCCGTGTCAGATTTCGCTCAACCTTAAGACAGCCTACTCACCTGTGCAGTCGGTCCCTGATGATCGAAACTCGTCCAGATGCGCATGAACATCATTGATGTGGAAGAATGACTGGTTCCAATTGCCGTCTCCGTCGATATATCGCTTCTGTAAGCGCCGCTCACTGTACAGTACATCTTCAGCTGAGACTAAAGCAGGCAATAAGGCAAGCAGACCAAGCTCCCATGTTGACCGCATCTCTCACTATGGCCTTCGAGGGGACGCCCTGTGATCCAGTTGCTGTCTGGAGGCAGAGGGAATGATTTCAATCCATGCTCAAGGATTCCGATGCCTTTTCAAAAGCCATCGCGGTGTTGCCCAGCGGTTGGAGGCCCGCCTGCAGGCCGTGACCTGCCATCTCGAGGCATTCATTGACCGAGAAGCGAAGCCCGGCGACACCACCAAGCATTTTATCGTGGGCAACACGTGTCTTGGCTCCGACAGAGTGGACGTATCGTCGTTCGCAGTTCAATCACGTCCAGGTTCAATTTTCTTGGTATGGCTGGGCAAGAGATACCGCAGGCTTGGCGTGAGACGTTGGAGGCGATGTCCGCTGGCGGGACAGCGGAGAAATGGCAGGGAGAAGGAATGCGCAACCACAGTATGGAGTGGAACGGCGGAGATACGGTGGGTGAGATCACATCATTTACGGTCGCAAAGCCATTTGTCATCCGCAGGCCATGTCGGCCTGCTGTTCCGAATAAGTATCCATACCTGGTATACCATGCATCTCGAACACCACCAGTATCTGCATACCATCTTTAAAGTGACCCGGACAGACACCTCACTACCGCCAAAATGTCCGAGCAGAAGCAATTGCATCTGACAGCTTTCATGCGACCTGTATCGCTGCATACAGGTGCATGGCGATACCCGGGCAGTTATCCGGATGCCAACTTCAATCTGCAGCATTTGAAGTCCTTCATTCAGAAGCTCGAAGCTGCGAAGTTCGATGTATGGAAGAAGTCTTCGTTCTTGTAGGCATTCCACATCTGACCTACGAGCTGACCATTCACCCGTCTCGCATTAGGCCTTTTTCATGGCAGATCACCTGGCCGTGCTCAATATGCCGGTGGAAGCACTGAAGCGGAGCCACACGACTACCTCCTTTGAGCCATTTACCCTTCTTTCGGCCTTGTCCCAGTGCACGGAACGAATAGGACTGGCCGCGACGGCATCAACGACCTACGATCATGCATACCATATCGCGAGACGATTTGCATCTTTGGATCACCTCAGTAATGGAAGGTACGTCCTGCTCCGCCAAAGCGGACTGTGGTCTATAGCATCAGGATCAATGAATGCTACAGTCATTGATTCGGAACTGATGGTGAGTGTACAGAGCTGCCTGGAATATTGTTACTACAGGCAACCCCGATAGCTCCAAGAATTTCGGCCAAGAAGAGCACATGCAGCACTCCAATCGATACAAGCTGGCTCGAGAATTCTACGACGTTGTCACTGGTCTCTGGGACTCCTTCGCGGATGATGCCTTCCCAAGAGATCGCGAAAGTGGTGTTTATATGGATCCCGAGAAGATGCATGTGCTCAATCACAAAGGAGATGACCTAAGTGTTCGAGGACCATTGAACATCGCCCGACCAGTCCAAGGATGGCCCGTCATTGTGCAAGCTGGTCAATCCGAGCCCGGACGACAATTGGCTGCAGAAACTGCAGAAGCAGTATTTTGCTCACCTAAAGACATGGATGGTGCCAAAACACTGTATAAAGACATCAAAGATCGAGCGAAAAAAGCAGGACGGAATCCGAACCACATCAAGATCTTACCCGCCGCCATGATTGTAGTCGGAGATACTGTTGAAGATGCCCAACAGAAACGACTCAATCTCGATTCACTTGTACACTACGACAGTGCTATCGCCTCCCTGTCGATTTCGCTTGGCTGCGACGCTTCGCAATTCGAACCAGATGCACCAATTCCAAAGGAACTACCGCCTACGAATGCCTCACACACTGCTCGCGAATCCGTAATCCGACTAGCAGCAGCAGAAGGTTTAACAGTAAGACAACTTGCGCAGCGATACGGAGGCTACTCCGGACTCGCATGGGTCGGAACTCCTCAGAGCATCGCAGATGGTATGCAAAAGTGGTTGGATGAAGGCGCTTGCGATGGCTTTACTTGCGTAATGCCATATCTCCCACAAGGACTAGATGATATTACGCAGCGAGTCGTACCCGAATTGCAGCGCCGAGGGATTTTTAGGAAGGAGTACACTGGAACGACACTGAGAGAACACCTTGGTTTGCCGAGACCACCGAATCGATTCTTTTCGGGGCAGACGTTGCCGCCGCAGATACAAGCGATGCGGAATCCCGGTCAGGCTATGACTGCTGCGGAGACTGCGGATGGGAGTGTAAATGGTTATAAGACGCCATCGAAGAACGGTGCGGGTGGCAATAGGTTGTCGGCTGAGGAGCTTGAAGCTATTCTGGAGGCGTCGAGATGATGGTATCGATGGAAAGTGCTATCGCACCACGGTGGCCGTCATCCAGCACCAGCAGGTGAAAGGTATCTCGTCGTTGGTTCAAGGAGTGATATCCGCCCTTGCACTCCAAGAAGAAGAACCGGCCAAGGCCTGCCTATGCTATGCAAGCGACAGGGCTGATGAGCTGTGACGACGAGCAAAAAGGCCGTGGCTCGACCAAACCCTAAGACTAAAAGATTAAACGAGAGCTTCACCATGAATCGAACATGGGTTGCAAGGTCATGAACTTTGTGTTTGGAGAAGTAAGTAGTGAAGTCCGGATCCAGCGTACCTTGCACGTAAGCCCGTATACGACCATGGATGTTGACGTTCTACCAAATGGCTAGATCTCATGCGTAAACGGAGTTCATGATAGTCAAAAGTCCAGGAAGCGCTGTACAGCCAGGTTGATGTCCAAGATGAAGAATGGCCTCGTGTCTAGAGAAAAGAGAAGTGCGAGCAGAGAATAATACATCGACACAGTAGTAGCTTCCAGGCTGGCGGCGGGGCTAAGCAAGCGCAAGCCACCGACAAAGCAGGAATGCCCCAAATTGAATGAACGCCGGGAAGGCGGCCTCAACACCAACTCGCTCCATTCCACTTTACCTACATGTATCTACTCTTCCGAGTAGCTCAAGAAACTACCAGGTCCCGACCAACCAACCCTCATCGCCCATGAAGTTCCACTCACCCACCCGCCAAGTGCACCTGGGTATCATCATACCATATCGAAACTTCAAAATTTTCTTCTTCCTCTTCTGCAATCTGTTTGATGAAGTCCAGCTCATCTCCTCGCCTATAACCATAACCATAACGTTTCGTCCCAAGAGATAATACTCATATAATCATAATCATATCAAGCCATCACTCCTACTGTAGCGGAGTAGTAGTAGCAACCACACACACACCCCTCAAACCTCAATATCGATAATCGATCACGAATCTGTAATTTTCTCGCCTAAAAGGGCCCCTCGTCAGTCTAAGTACCAATAATACTCCCTTCTACAAATCAGACGCTGCAAGTAAAATGTGAGCACAAAAACGAGGTTGAAAAGCTCGCGGACGGACTTACTCATCCTCATCTCCCACACCGGTCCAGCCACTTCTGACTCGTCCTTCGTGGTAATCACTCACAGGAGGATGATTATCCCGATCCCCAGAGCGATGGAGCACAAAGTCCAAGACTTCGCTTCTGGGCTCGACGAATTGCCTCGCGCACCAGCCTATTGGTGCAGCATAAGGCTTGGTCTTGCCGTCTGCATCGACGCAGCTCGATCGGAGGAAGATGGTCTGGTTCTTGGAATCTTCGCGCTCGTAGACCTTGTCGGAAGTGCCGAAAGCGATGAGTCGGAGTTTGGCGGGTTGAGAGTCTGTGCCATCCTCACTCGTATTCGTGTTCGCGGCGGAAGCTTCGTCTTCATTATCGCTGTCATCTGATGCCGTTGGAGCGGCAAACGTCTTCGTGCCCGCAGCCATTTCGAAGCCTCTCTGAGCCAAGCCTTGCAGCAGACTCTCATACACCATTCTAGGGAGTAGTTGAGTGCTGGGCTTGTTGGTGGGCCAAGTCGTGATATGTAACGTGACCATGTTCTTGAGGTGTCCACACGAGCTTTCGAAAGCTTTCCATTCCTCGCTGGGACTCCGGATGAGACTCGTATGTGGCCATGCACACGAGAGCTGCTCAAGGTCTTTCGACGCTTTGCAGATCTTCTCGAAGTCTTCTGTGGCCCATACGAGCTCTTCGCTGTCGCAGTCCGAAGAGAGCGACGCGGTATGCGAGTCTTGTGCGCAGTGCACATTCAGTAATTCGAGCGTCTTGCCATGCCGCACCACACCTGCTGCAGCCGGCATGGATTTCACGTTTTCGAGGTCGATCACCAGATCTCGTAGCCCGGATACCAAGCAGAGGAAGCCGTCCAGCGCGAGAAGAGCTTCATTGTCCGGGTTGTCTCTATGCTGGAATTCTAGCACCTTTAAGTTCTTGGGCAAATGGCTTGACTTGCTTAGCTGTCCAAGCAGAGTGTCGGCGCCCGTGCAGTGATACAGACGCAGATACTCCAGGTCGTGGAACTTGACAAACTTACACCAAGTTTCTGCGCAATGTCTGAGCCCCACCTTATGCAGCCTCAAACTTTTCAAGCTCTTGAATGGCGTGCACTGCTCAAATGGTAGCATGTGGCCGAAGATACTTCTCAAGAGCAGTCCTGGTTCCGTAGCAGAATCATTCAGCTCGCGACTCTCGATATTGCCACCAGAGCCAAGGTCGTGCCAGTGGCAATGCACGATCAGTTCTTCCAGCTGATCTTTGCACTTGTCCACAAAATAGCCACTAAGATTCAGTGTCTCGCGATTTTCGGGATACAGAGCCAGCTTTCTCGCATGCGTGAACATGTTCTGTTGCAATTTGGCATTCTTCTTGAGCTCTGGAAGAATGTCGCGATCAAGGTCCATGACTTCCAGCCATTTCATCTTCCGCTGGCGCTTGTAGAGGAGCAGGAGGTTGTCGGTGGAAAAGGGTCGCCATGGACACCAGCTGTTGCGGTAATAGCTGGTTAGCATCAGCAGGTCAACTTTCATACGACTCTCCACAAAACATCGAGAAAGAAGCTCTAGAGGCAGCGCGTCTTTCTCAGATTTGACTGGATTTATCAAGCGTACCTGAACTCTTCAAGCGTGTCTTCTGGCAAGAATTCGAGTATCATGCGAGTTGCAAATTGCGCCTGCTGCTCTTGGTTGCATTTGTCGCGCACTTCGGCGAGGTACAATCTTAGCTGGCGAATGTGTTTGAGGCCGATATTACGAGGATTGACGAATGCCGTCAGGCGGTTGTCGTTGGTGCTGCCCAGATCGAGTGCGACATTGCGGTATAGAGGGCGTACAGCGAGCGAATGCAGCTGTTTCGATACGAGGCATACATTCTTGAGGTCGGACGGGCGGATTATCTAGCAGGCATTGTCAGTATCTCGAGCGGTAGTGTTCCAGCGCGACAGGCTGTGCTGGAGCTTACCCGCTCTACGATCTCGCCTTTCAGCTCTTCTGAGAGGGCATTGAATGTTGCTTTGCTATCCACCTCGTCTTTCGTGCTGGCGGCCAGCTGCACTTTCGGTGCTTCAGGTCGCTGCGTCTCGATCTGAGTCGCGACCGCCGTGGCCATGCCTACCCGCTGCTGCTCTCTTCTCACTGTGCCGCTGCTCTTCGATCCGTAATCTCGACAGTCGCGGCGGAAAGGCAGACTTGCTATGGCACAAGTCTAGTAAAGTGTTCCAGCCTGTGTCAATCATAGAAGAAGACCGATGCGGTGACTCAGCTGCACCATTCGACGCCTAGGGGTGGTGGATGTGTTCGAAGTGAGCATGCGCTGTCAAGTAGAATGTAGTCGCGCAGGCGCACGTGTTCGACTGCAAGTGAAGGGAAGGGCACGAAATTCGTTGGGGGTCACGCCACAAGAATCCTTTCTGGAGTGAGGCGCGCACGACAGTAATGCGATCTCTGGTTCAGCCTTGTGTTGAACACTTCACACTCCACCGCACCCCCGGACACTGCCCCGCGGCAGACGCTCAGTTGTCCGCCAAGTGGGGATCTGCCGGAAGAGGCCGCATGCCGCCGACATCGAATGAGATGCCTGCAGATGAGCCGCCATACCAGCCTACCAGGAACTCCCCTGCGACCCTCTCACCGACCCAAGAAAGTGCTTGCGAATCATCACCGTTCGTGGCCAGATTTATCTGTCTCAAAGTGAAACTGACGACACATTCGAAAAAAGCACGTCCTATGGGAACATCAGCCCGACAAAGCCGAGATTGTTAGGGGTATCACAAGGAAAAAGAAGCGATTGGAGTGTCTCGATTGAGGCAGGTAAATATCTCGTCTTCTCTCATGTCTGGTGTCGAGTGGTTCGGGTATATTTGCGTACACCACTTCCCAAAAATGCATGCATGCGTGCTTGCCCGCTTCATCATTCCATCATGACCGCCAACTCCTTGCTGCTATGCAAGTTAAGCCGTTAGTTCCAATTGACCTGTCAACGCCTCTTCTCCCATCATCAACCGAACGCAATCAAGAAGTCGCCTCCGCTTCAGCATCTTCACTGCTCTGCCGCTCCATCTCGGCGGCGAGGGCTGCTTCCAAATCAAGATCATCTTCATCGTCATCGGCTCCAGCATCACCAGCATCAGCCGCAGGTGTCGCGCCATCCTGTTTCACGAGGTTCGTCAGAGAAGAGGTCCGCTCGATGGCTTCCTTCTTCCGCTTCTGCAACCGGCTGCCTTCAGCATCGCTCTCATTTTCGCCGTTGCGATCTCCCGACTTTCGCTTCCGATGACTAGGCGGCGTTTCTGAAGTATCCGCATCGTCTGTGCGGTCACTCTGTGAGTCCTCGGCGTCTGTGTCGAGGTCTTCACCTTCCATGAACTCCTCAAATTCGGCATCATAGTCATCCCATTGATCTGGTGCTTCCTCCTTGGTAGGACTGCTGTCTTGGCGATCCAGTGTTGGAGCGTGCTTGAGCCACTCTTCAGAATCAGTGTCCATGTCAGTTGGAATGGCTATTGTCAGGCCGTTGGCGTTCCCGTTAGGTGTCTCGGCATCCGTTTCGTCTTCAGTTTGTGCGGCGTCTTCATCCGACTCGGAAAGCTGATACTCGTGGCCTTCAAAACTGTCGGGTAGGCCAGCTGTGCCGTTTGCCGGCGCATCGGAATGGATGCGGTACATGTTCTCGTCGACTTTCTTCCACTGCGCAAAGCATGCGTGGAGCCAATGCTGGCTAACAATCGCGATCCTGCCGGACTTCTTCGCCGCCTGTCGTACTTTGGCTGTTCGTCGCTCGGGAGAAGCGATGACATGTGTGGTCTTCTTGGTGATGTTTTCGCTGACAGTCGCACCAAAGCTCTTGGCCCAGACGGCAGTATCATGCGAGTGGATGTCCACACCGAGCGGAACCACGCCGGAGAAGACGAGATGCACGCCCGACAGCACTTTTGCCTTCATCCGATCCATGATGGCCGCGGCATCGGGAATATTCTCGAGATCATCCACTGATCGCTTCTTGCTATGTCCTGGCCGCAACTCTGCTACCCGGCCACCCTTAGTGCCCGAAGCATTCTTGTCGAGCTCATCATAGTATGCATCATGCACGCTGCGCAGGCTTTGTTCGAGGTATATGAGCTCCGTATCGTCATTTGCCAACAAGTTGTGCCGGTACCTGTGCTGGACTGGCTCTAACGGCGGTTCTTTGTTTGCGCCATTCTCTGCGAGAAGCTGTGCTGCTGCTTCTACTGCTGGCGACTCTTTTGCCTCCTCATCTTTCGAGGCCTCCTTCGCCTCTTCTTCTTTGGCCAATCTCTCAAGCTCTTGTTGCTTCTTCAGCATAGGTCTCTCTTCGACCTGCTCGGCGATCGTCTGCTCTTGCTCCTCTGACTTCTCCTTGATGCTTTGAGCATCTTGCTTGCCCGCCATTGACACCATCTGCTCCACAGCTGATACTTCGCCATTGGTCTGGGGAGGCGTGGTAGGCGCGGTTGACGGACTGCTGGCAGGCGAGCTGTCATTCGAATCTGCTTCGGTGCTGCCATCATCTGAGGCGGAGTTCTTCGAGGGGGTTCTCTCCATTTTCGGTGCGGCGGACTTCAGGGCCTCCAGTTCAGGTCGTTTGGGCAGAAAGCTGCTGTTGATGTCACCTATGCCCACAAAGAACTCGAAAACATTGACTTTGATGAGGTTCGACGTCCAGTGCCACACGTCGGCGCGATCATCGATAATGACTACCATCCTCGTGTCAACGGGGAACAGCCTCTTCAAGTTCTTAGCTGTCATGCTTCCACTCTCATTGCGTGACAGGATGCGATCGCCAAATATCTTTTTCTCGGGGTCGATGATCTTGGCCACGCTCTCGGCATAGGCGCGCGTGCCCATTGTGTAGATATGCATTTCGTAAATCTCGGACAAAGTCGACAGGAACTGCTTCAAACCTGGGCGCGGCTTGATATAGTACCACGTATTCGGCTTGTCATCGTCCAGCTGGAACTTTTGCACATCCTGAAGTGCTTCGTAGTTTGGGTTGGAAGGGTCGTTCTGCCATTCGGCAATCGTGGGCTCGACAGAAGCGTGAATGATGGTCTGGTCGAGATCGACGACCAAGCTCAGGCGGCGCGATTGAAGAAGTCTACGCTTGCCCTCTTCATCCACCCTGGCCGCCTCTCCTGCCGAGATTAGCAGATCTTGCCGGCCATGCACGATGTTCGTGGTCGCGCGATCCGTGACAGACTGGGTGGAGTTGTATGTTGCGAGGCTTGTCAAGTCATTGCCGCAGTTGGCGCATATGTTGCCGAATTGAACGTCGTGCGTGCATGGCTCGTCCACGTCGGCCACGAACGTTCGACCTCTGATGACTTGGCCGAGGTGCACCTTGAAGGTGGCGATCTTGCCTTTGGTTTCGCTCTCGAAGGAGCCATATTGCGATCGCTCATTGACCTTGTAGTCTCTGATGTCGTCGTCGAACTCTTCTATTTTGGTCTTGTACTCGTACCAGAAGAGCGGCGCGTTGACGTCGATCTCGTCGCCCTCCTGCCGCAACAGCTTGGTAACCGTGATCGGATACAGGAGGCTATCTGGTGTAAACAGGCGCATTGGGTGTCGTTGGGGCGTGCTGCGTGCTGCGCGTCGGCGAACAATCACATGTTCTTGTCGCACGTGGCGGAGCTGGGTGGAAAGGCCGGCTTTGTTGAGCGACAGAGGGAGCTCAGGGTGACACTACACGTAACGCAAGCAGCACAGATTCATCTACGAGTGAGGTCGCATGACTGCAATGTGGCCGAGTGCATTCAAGGTAGGGGTTTCTAGAGCTTGGTGTCGCCGAGTCAAACACGCGCAATTGGTGATGAATGAATGCTGTCCGCAATGGAGGTGCGCGTGGGCGTGGAATGATTGGGGTGGCTGATGCAGGGCGCGTGGATCAGGTGTTGTGTCGTGCTGGCGTGGATGGCGTTCAATGAGGGATTGTCTAACTGCTGGCGCGTGAAGCATTCGGGGAGAGAATGAAGCGAGGTGCACTGCCTTTACTTAAGTAGAATGGAGAGCTCAGCGGCCCGGGCCGAGCGCAGGCCCCACTTCTCCTTCCAATGATGAATGCGGCGACAAAGGATGAAAGCTGCCGTCTGGCACGCGAACAACACCTCTTCCGTCTTCCGAAGACTACGTACAGTACATCGACTGCGCAGTATGTATCTCGTCATCGTCAATAGGGTAGGCTGGACCGCTCGGCACGACATCGGGTAGCTTGTGCATTGCGTATCTCTAGAAGTGACATGGAGCTCGACAAGCTACAACGAAACGCCATGGATGCTGAAGGAGCGGTGTCTTTGTACACCTGCCAGCTTCAAAGCCGCGGCAAGTGAGTGACACCGTCGAAGGGCATATACATAAACAGACAACGGCCAACAATCGTCTCCATCACGGCTCAAACATCGCAGTCCAGACATCCATACTCTTCACCTCGCCACTCTCAGCCAAACCTTTCATCTCCTCCAACTTCGCCTTGAACTCCCCCTCCAAATCGTCATCAGCATAATGCCTCTTCACGATCCCAACCTCCCACTTCCCATCCTCCAACTCCGGCCCTTCAATCCATTTCTCCCTCATCAACTTCCACCCCACCTCCTCCGCCAACACCAACATCCGCTCAGGTCTCATAGCAATCTGCACATTCCCCTTCTCAATCGATTTCCCCGCCTGAATCTCCGCCGCCAAAACATGCGCCTTCGCCTCACCACTCCCCTCTCTCATCCCCCACTCCGCCAAAACCAACTGAATCGGCCTCGAGCTCTTCCTCCCACTCGCCATCCCAAACAAAGCCCCCAACAACTCCCTCAAATACCCCTCACTCTCCAAATAGAAAATCGAATGCGCCAAAACCACAACATCCGGCCTCCCCCTCGTCGCAGCTTTCATCCCTTGAATATACTCCTGCGCATCCTGCTTCACGAATTTCACCCAAGGTCCAATATTGCTTTTGTTGATGAAAGCCTGCGCTTGACCTAACGTGAACGGAGATCCATAATCCAAGCTCGCGGGATCAATCGCAAAAACCTTTCCAGTATTGCTCGAACCCGTGGACACGAAATGTGCGAGAGCGACCGTCATGTCGCCTTGCCCGCAGCCGATTTCGAGAATTGAGCGGTCTTTGAGAGCTTCGCGGGCGTGGTGGAGGGATGGGGAGCCATTTTCATCCGGGTAGCAGGCTGCGAGGATGTCGAGACGATGTTGGAGTTGGGAAGTTTGCGTGGGTGTGTCGCCGCTGATCGTATATTTTGCGAGCCGTTCGGCGAGGTCTGGTAAGTCGGCGAGAAATGGGTCTAATGGGCCTGTTTCTTCTGAGGTTTTGGGGGGTGCTGGGGAGCCTTGGAGGGCTTCGAGGGTTGCTGTGTCCCGGTCTACCATGTTTAGATAGAGATATGATGGTGTTGAGTTGTTCTAGTGTTGGGTTTCTTTATAGGTTTGTTGCGATGTCATGTTAGCAAGCTCCTACAGATCAGCAGTGAGGTGTGGCCTGCATCCATGCATTTGTCTGAAGAGATCGACACGATCAGCTCTGTAGCCAACACGTCATAACTTCGTGAGTCAGGTACAACAGCCGCTTATGCCACATCCGGAAAGTGCGAACTAAAGTGAGTAGTGCTCGTGATCCTTGGAGAGCGGCCGTCAATATGCGTATTTGGGCGAAACTGGTACGTAGGACGATGCATTACAACTGTGCTCGCTCTGCTTTCACAAACAATCCCTTCTTTCCGCTCTTCTCCTTATCTCGCAACACTCTTCGTAGGATCTTGCCTGATGCACTCTTAGGGATCTCATCAATGAATTCGACTTCTCGTACAGCCTTATACCGAACCTTGTTGTCTCTTGTAAACTTCAACAGCTCCCGTCCGAGCTCTGGACTTGGTTTCTGGCCAGTCGTCGGCACAATGTACGCCTTCGGCACCTCTCCATTATAATCGTCTGGAATTCCCAGCACAGCAACGTCCTCGACCTTGGGATGACCCAGCAGGAGATCTTCCAGCTCAGCTGGAGCAACGCCGATTCCGCGCACCTTGATCAGTTCCTTGATACGATCCAGAATGGTGATAACGCCGTGTTCATCGATCGCACCAACATCTCCAGTGTGAAGATATCCTTGCTCATCGAATGTCTCTTTTGTTGCTTTTTCATTGTTCAAGTAACCCATGACGACTTGTGGACCTTTGGCACAGATCTCGCCAGGCTCTCCAACACCGCATTCCTTTCCGTCTTCTGTGATGATTTTGACCGTTGTGCTAGCGCATATTGTGCCGACGGTGTGTGCATACTCGAAGTCGTAAAGTGCAGGTGGATGCGCAGTGATACACGAACACGACTCCGTCATTCCATATCCCTGCTTAAATCCACATTGCGGAAATTTCTTCTTAAGAAGGTCGAGGATTTCTTTGCTCAACGGCGCCGCACCTGACGACAATCTCTTCAAGAATGAGAGATCATACTTGTTGACGATCGGATCACGAACCATTCGGATGATGATCGGCGGGACGAGGAGCAGCTCCGGAATCTTGTACTCGCACACCGTATTGAGCATAGCTTCCATTGTAAACGCAGGCAAGAAGTAGACCTCGGCATTGATCAGAATCGGTAGGTGTAATACGTGTACGAGGCCTGTAATGTGAAAGGAAGGCAGAACAGCCAATACTCGTTTATGGTCGGAAGGTGTTATCTGCATAACCTGGAGGCACTGCGCGATGACATTCTGATGTGCAATCCTGCATCATGTCAGTATATGATCGCTTTGACCTGCAACGAACTTACATCACAGCCTTGGGTAAACCAGTCGTTCCGCTTGAGAAGGACAAGAAACCGCAGACATCGAAGTTGGTCTTGCCCTTAGGGATCTTGAAGTATGGCACTTGTTCGCCCAAGTTTTTGCCCTCCTCAATCAGAGTCCGGATATTCTTGAAGCCTGGTAAATCACCTTCGAGGAGGAAGATGTTCTCCTTGGGCACACCGGCATTCTTCGCGGCCTTGGTGGCGACTTCCATACTATCCTTGTGTGTAAACAGAAATTTTCCATCTGCTTTCTGAAGCGCATAAGTCATCTCTTCGACGTTGTACGCAGGGCTAGCCCCAGAAACCTTGCCACCAACGCGTAGAGTCGCGTGCATGGCCACTGGGTACCATATTGTGTTTGCGCTAAAGAGCGAGACTGTCTCTCCTTCTTTCAACCCATATTTCTTAACCAATGCGGTTGACAGATATGTCGACACCTCTTTCACCTGTGGCCAGCTCAGGCGTTCCTTCGTAATGGCATCTGTGAATCCTGCTTGTCGGCTCTTGGGGAAGCGTAGAAGAGGAGAGTATGTTGGCTCTTCAAACAGCCATTCCCAGGTTGTGAGGTGTGGTGGGACTATACAATGTTAGCACGAATACTACCTGAAGCATTGAGGAGGCGTGTACGGAGGATGTCTTGCTGCAAGCTGGGAAAGACAGGCATGTCGGCTGGTACGCGACAGGTGTATTGCTCGAAGCTTGGGAGAAAATTAATACACAAGAGAGCGTGAGGAGACGAAATGTACATACCTGGGTCTACATTGTCAGCTCTACACTGACTCGCCTATCGCCTGATCAAAGGCCTCGGGTAGTGGTGCGGCAGGCGACGTGCAGGAAGAGAGGAGTTGCGCCGCCTTTGCGGCGGCTGTTGTAGGGAGGCCCATATATACCAGAGGCTCAATGCGGGGTTTCTTATACCTCTTACCGCTATTACTACCTAATTCTTCGTATTTAACCTTCTACGACTCGTAATATACTCGCTATTGACTCGTAGAATACCTCTACGTATCGATTTATCGCTATAGAAGGCTTAGATAATATCTTAAGTCTATAGCGATACTATATAGAAAGCAATCGTATAGTACCTTATATAGGAGACCGGTTGTTAGATATCCCTTAATATACTTAAACGAAGGCTTAAAGAGTAGAATATTAATTATAGCTACTCTACTTACTATTACCGAGTTAACGATATTAAGGTACTAAAGATCTAGGTCGTATATACCTTCTACGTTCTACGGTTAACTAATAAAGAGGCGGTTCGAGTACTATAGGCGGATAGGTTTAAGATTAGCTAGCGGAGGTATTAACGGATACGTTAAGAGCTTAGATTAAAGAAGGTATTATTAATAGATAGATAGATAGAAGCGGAAGAATAGATAGTAGAGGTCTTATAGGAAGAGCTCGAGAAGTCTATAGTAGAGTCCTTTAGCCGACGGTATCTATATATCTATATTAGGTCTAAATATAATATTATTAGTAGAGATCGGCTATATCGTATAGCTTCCTTACTAAATCCTAAAGGATTACGAGTCCGCTATAAGCGGGCGCGAGAGTACTATAGAGCGATTATTATACCCGGCCCTAGTTACGTAATATTAATAGATACTTACTATAAATTCGAGCATTAGGGGATATAAATCTACGTAGCGATTAATATTTACTCGCGTTATATTATCTAGATCTATATAGGCATTACTAGCCGGATAGCTGTCTCTATACTAGCTTAATACCTTATAACGATCTAGAATAGTAGTATAATACTACAGATTATTCGATTAGACCGTAGGGTAGAAACGATTCTAGCCGCGGACGCTTACTATAAGACTCGCCTTACGACTCGTAGTAACCCGGAATAAGAATAACCGCTCGCTTTCGAGGACTGCTTTAAATACGGTACGAGCAAGATAAACTAGCGGATTAAGGTATAGTAGCGTTAGCAAGTACCTGCACTAAATAGCTAGAGGGGCTATTTCTACGAGTTACTACGCGAGTTACTATACGATACTAAACTGCTAGCGGATCGGATTACCTTCCTTGTAATCTATATACTAATTATACGTTATAAAGTCCTCGAATTTGTTTACCTCTAGAATAGCTATTATATCCGGAAGTAGGCTAATCGACTATACGTTATACTAGGTATTCCGTATATTCTATACTATTATCTAGAGCTTAGCGGGCATTCTTATTAAGGTATTCCTATACCTAACGGTGCACTTAATAATATAGAGTAAGACCTTTAAGGATTTAGTATATATTAGATTCTATAGTACAGACTCGCTATAGACTCGCTAATAGACTCGCTAATTCCTAGATCTTAAAGCCTACCTATCCGAGGCTACGCTTTCTTAGTATAAGACAGTATTATAAATTTATAGCTTCTCGTATCTAGTAAGTAGTAGCGAGAATAGCGATAATATAGAGCGCCTTTACCGCTCTACCTACTTGCTTCTTTAAGGGTTAGCTAGGGAGTATATAGCTATAGGGTTAGAGCTAGAACTAATAGAGTTAGATAAGCTATTAGCAGTACGTAGTTAGTTAGCGGCGGCTCGGAATTAGGAAGCTAGGTTAATTAAGTTTGTAAATAATATATACTAATCTCCGATCTACGAGCTAGCCGCGAGTATATAGATAGATAGATATTTCATTTGCCTGTTGTAGTGCCTTTCGGCCTATGCAGGTCTATTTCTATATATTGTTTTAGGTAGGAAACTAACTTAGTTAGTAAAAAACCTCCCTCCTATCCTATTTATAAGTGTTAATCTTCCTCGTTTCCTTATTTTCCTTCCTCTAGGGTATACTAGTATTATAGTTGTTACCCTCTAACTACCTTGCCTACTGCCCTGCCCTTCTTTCCCCCTCTTCTTCCCTCCTTCTTATCTACTCCTTAGTTTCCCTTGCTAGTACGAATTGTTATATAAATCCCTATTTAATAATCTACTTTACTATCCTCTTTAGGTCTTCTTTGCTCTAGATTAGCTTGTCGTATTCCCTTTCTATTGCTTTTAGTCTCTAATTACTTCTGCCTTCTAACTATTAAGGGCAGACTAGTAGCATATACTTAGGGTTCTGAGATTAGTAGCTATATTAGTAAGCTCTGCTTTCAATTCCTAGGACGTTTCTTCTAAATAGGTAAGATCTAAGTCTAATATATTTAGATCTAATTTAGATAGCTAGGCTTGCCTCGGCCCTATTTAGGTCCTTATAGAGCTAGTAGTTATATTGACTAAATTTGATTAGTGCCTTTAGGGTTCCTAGTCTAACTTATGTTTTATTCTATTCCTACTCCTATAGGTATCTAGTAATTGATTCTGCTAGGCTTTGTTTCTCTCCCTTTAGCTTGTCTTCCTTTAGCCTTATATTTAGTCCCTAAAGCTCTTTCTCTAGCATTTCTCTTATTAAGACTCTATATTGCTCTAGGTCTTTAACTTTCTAGGGAGTTATTTATAGTCTATCTCGCCTCCTAGTCCTAATATACTAGGCTTTTATCTTGTCTAGTGCCTTTTAGATAGTCTATTAGGCCGGGTATTCTATTGTCTTTACTATATATTAGTATCTTAGTCCCTTAAAGTATTGTTTAACTAGTAGGATCCCTAATTCTATTTCTACTACCCTTATTAGTATAGTTTTGTATACCCCTAGGATTTTCTTTAGGCTTTAGGTTTAAGACCTGCTAACTAGTTGCTTAATCCTCTTTAGTGTTTTCTCCTAGGCTGTCTATATCTATACTCTATATAGCATTACTAGCTTAATAATTGCTTTATATATAACTTTAGCTTTCTCGAATATAGCCCCCTATATAGAGGCTATAAGCCTATTAATAGATTGTATATTAGTATCTGCCCTCTACTTTGCCTTCTTTACTTATAGTCCCTAATTCAGTTTTGGATCTAGCTAAATCCCTAGTACCCTAAGTTCTGCTAATAGTTGGGTTTTAAAGCCTTAGATAGTAATTGATTGTTTTATATTATAGATTGATTTAGCCTTACTAAAGTAGATAAGCTAGTACTTTTCTAGGGCGAATTTTGCTCTATACCTCCTTACCTATTTTTTATACTCCTAGTGCTTCTCTTCTAGGATCTTATAGTTGGTTTCTATTGTCTTAGACTAGGCTAGGATGTTTGTATTATCTACAAACCCTAATGCTAATATGTTTTTTAATTCTAGGAGTAGGAGTAGGTCTACTATAAAGATAAGGAAGAGGATTAGGGAGAGTATTAATCCTTAGGGGATTCCCTTTTTAGTTAGCATTAGGTCTGATTTGAATTTACCTAGAATAAGCTGTATTAATCTTTCCTATAGGAAGGACTAGATAAATTGGACTATCTAGTTTAGTATAGCTTTCTGTTTAAGTATATATAGGAGCCTTTTATAGGAGATATTATTAAAGGCTCCTAAGATATTAAGGGAGAGGAGGGTTGCTACCTAGTTTTAACTATAGTGCTAGATATACTTGATCTGTTCTATAATTAGTTCTATAGCTATTAGTATTAACCTCTTCTTTCTTCCTCCTATCTAGCCTTTAGGAAGGATATTCCTTTCCTCGGCAAAGGTTGTTAGCCTTTTAGCGATAATTTTTTCTAGTACCTTACCTATTATATTAAGTAGGGCTATTAGTCTATAGGCCTTAAGCTATATATAGTCTTCCTTCTAGGGCTTCCTTAGTACTACTGTTAGGGACTTCCTAAATAGTCTTAGGTAGTGTCCTAGTGCTAGGATTTATAAAAAGATATTAGCTAGTACTAGGGCTAGCCCCTTCCTATATGCTTTTAGAAGTTTGTTATAGATCTTGTCTTCTCCTAGTGCCTTATTACCTAGAATTTTCTTTAGGATCCTTTCAATAGTTTCGGGTTTAACCTAGGTATCTCTTAGTATGCCTAGTAGTAGAGTCTCTTATTCTTTCTCCTTTATGTCTAATAGGTCTGCTTATACTTTTCTATAGAAGAAGTATTAGCCTAGGGCTCTTGCTTTCCCTTCTATTATAGTCTGCATTTGTCCTTATTAGTCTATAATATCCGGGAATTATAGTAGTATATCCTTATCCTGTTTAGGTCTCCTTACCTATTTAGCTATCCTCTATATCTCCTCTAGTTTCTTTGTAATTATTCCTATTATAGATCTCTATTCTTGTATCTTGTCTTTCTTAATCTAGATCTTCTTTTCCTAGTAGGCTTTATTATAGTTGTCCTATACTTCCTAGGTATAGGTTCGTATCTACTGCCTCCTAGCCTTCCTTACTACTTTAACCTTCCTTATATACTTACTAGTCTAGTATAGTTGCTAGTATAGTGAATGTTTCTTTACTAGGGTATACTTTCTAGCTACCTATTTTAGGATTCCTATTAGTTCTTCTACTGCTTTATTAATATCCTCTAGCCTTAGTAGGTGCTTTGTTAAGAGTTCCTCTAGTTTTAGGTCCCTTTCTAGTTCCTCCCTAATCCTACCCTATTAGATACCTTTCTAGTTAAGCTTCTCCTCTAGTTCCCTTTCCTAATTAGCTTAGATATTTAGCTCAATCTGTACCGGGAAGTAGTCTAATAATTCTTCTAGTTCCTAGTTAACCCTATATCTTGTAATCCTGTTCCTAATCTAATATAATATAAAGCATAGGTCTAGTATACTACTGCTTCCTCTTGCCTCCTAAGTAATTAGTCCCTTTAG